GCCCCCTCCACCACGTCCTCCGTGACGCCCACTACCCACCGACTCATAACCCCAACGCACCGGGTGACCCCTACTTCCCCCTCCACGACCAGACCTACGGGCTCCTTGTCTCCTTCCACACTGGCGACAGGCACGAGCCCCGCTGGTCACACTTTCAGCTCCACTTTCAGCTCCCCAGGCTCCCCAGGCACAGTGAGCGTAGCCTCCTTTTCTTCCTTTGTTTCCTCCTTAGATGCCTCCACTCCCACCCTGTCCTCTGTATCTTCCCTGCCCACCCACGCCTTCTCCCCCTCTTCTCGTTTGTCCACGCCTCCTCTTGATCGGACTCCTGTCCCCCTGGGCAGCACCAACATTGCTCCTTCTTTGCCCAGGACCACACCCAGCACCCCCATATCCCACACCCTCTCCTCCCACTCTACCACCTCACAGTCTACGTCCCTCACCACCCAAATCCCTTCATCTAGTCTCTTTTCATCCACTGTGGGGGTGACAGCCATCCTGACTTCTCCAGTCACTAACCTCACCACTGGACAACCTAGTAGCACTGGAGTTTCAACCACCATGACCCTCGCCAGCTTGACCTCTGTCCACGGAAGCTCATCCCTCCATTCCACAGGGTCCTCGTCTCCTGGGGCACCATCCATTTCCTCTCTGGTGACACCCACGTCCACCTCTCCAGGTAAGGGGTAGGACTCTCACCCACCTCACGACCTTGGTGCCCCGCGTCTTCCGGCTGTGCATCATCAGTCTGGAGAGCACGGTCGTGCCCTCCCGCAGAGTCCCTGCCTTTCCCTGTCCTCTCGCACTGCCCAATCCCCTTCTGGGCTGTGCTCCTGCCTCCTAGCCCGTTCCTCACTGTGCCGTAGTCCCAGCCTGATGTGCGCGCCTCAGACAGGAGCTCCCTGGTCATCCTGCATGTGACCTGCTTTCTTTCCCTTGAAGCGTTCATTCTCCTGAGGCCAGCAGGCAGGCAGCACGCTAAGCTCAGACCTGAGGTCACAGTCCTCCCTCCGAGCACCCCCATGTCCTTCGGGCATCTGCAAAGGCCAACACCCCCCAGCAGGCAGGGACTGCGTCAGGCCTCCCTCTTCTGCGTGTCCCCCAGTCCTTAGGAGAGTTCTCCCAGCCTCCCGTTAGCTGCCTCCTCCTCTCTTCCCACCCCTCTCTACACACCTCTGTTCAGACACTGCAGTCTGGCCAACATGGGTGCGTGGCCTCCCCTGGGAGGCACCCTTTCCGTCACCTGGGCCTGCATGCCAGCCCCGCGCCTGGCCCACCCATGCCCTGCCCGACCTCCCACTCCCTGCTATCCTCCCGGCCTCCCGGCGAGCCAGCTCCCTCAGAAGCCCTCCACGGCTGCCCCTTCAGGAGCTCACAGGAGTTCAGGGGCGGCTGGGGTCCCGTCTCAGGTATTGCCCCGCCTGAGGAAGCGGAGAGAGAAAAAGGAAGGGCTGTAGCTACAAGTGTCCTCCCCAGACGCCACTGGTGGTGGGCAGAATAGCAGCCGAGGCCTCCACCGTTTTCCCGCCCCCCACCGTCCTCGAGAGACACCCCTCCCCTCCCTTCCAGATGCTCACTGCACTGTACTGTGGGTTCCCCCTCCCATGTCCCCTGCCATCCCCCAGGCAGGCCTGTCCACAGTGATGAACGTCGTCCTGGGAGACAGACCGGGCGCAGGCTGCCCGTGAGCAGACCAGGGGCACAGGAGCAAAAGCAGGAGATGGGGTCGGAGGAGGACAGCTGAGGGCCACAGGAGCCCGTGGAGACAGCCCTCTTGTCCCCTCCTCCAGCAGCCACGCAGGCAGACTGGGCAGTGTGCTCAGGAACGCCTTCACTTTTTCACTTCCTCTCCCCACGGGCAGCTCCTAACGCCAGCCGGCCGAGGCAGCGTGCCAAGCAGACCAAGGTCTCCAGCTGGGTCCACACCCTGCCCCTCCAAGAGCACAGACCCTGCAGAGAGCTCCTGGGGCGCCATCCATCCCCTCCACGGATGTACAGACCCTGCCCCCATCCGTCCGGCAGGCCCCAGCTCCAGCAGACCAGAGATGCCCACTGGCTGCTGCTGGACCACGAAAGGAGAGGCCTGAGGGTTGCCCACCAGAGCTCAGAAAACTCTTGACCTGGGGGGGCTCCCAGGGTACCCAGCTCTCAGGAGGAACACCCAAAAGGAGAGCCCATCAGCGTCTGTTCCCATGCAGAGCTCTGAGGTCCGAGGTTAGCACGGCTGGGACAAGGCGAGTGCAGGGGGCGGAGCCCAGGGGAGAACCCACCACGCAGGAAGGGTTACTCGTCCCATGTAAGCAGTCATGCGGCTTGCAACGTCGGCCCTCCTTACCCAACTGAGCCACATTCACCCCCCTTCCCGGGTCCTGTGCCCAGCGGCAGGTCTGTGTCAGCCCTGCAGCCATGCCCTGGCCTGGCGTCTGACCGCACCTCTCTCGTCCCCCAGGAGCCTGCGGCGTGAAGGAGCTGCAGCAGGAGGTCACCTACCGAGGGTGCACCGCCAACGTGACAGTGACCCGCTGTGAGGGCTTCTGTGCCTCCTCGACGAGGTGAGTGCCGGTCCCAAGCAGCCTCCAAACAGGGCTGGACCGGGCACGCCAGAGCCTGCCCCATCCAGGAGAAAGCTCCCAACCAGTCAGGCCGCCCTAGCCGACAGCCCCCTCCACCGCGCCTGCGCAAGGCCGAGGCAGACCCGCCAACTGCCTCAGAGCCAGGGAGGGCAGCGAGGGCCGGGAGGGGGAGGGCAGGCCCGAAGGCCCCTCCTGGGAACTTGGGACCCACCCTTTTCTCTGGAGTGGTCCGGGAGGTCCAGGAGCACTCTCTCCTGGGGCAGCGGCCCTGACCCAGGCTCCTGGCTCCTGCTTCTTTGCAGCTTTGACATCCCCACGAATCAGCCCGAGACCCACTGCAGCTGCTGCGAACCCCTCGGCTCCTACCAGAAGCAGTTCGCGCTGCCCTGCTCAGACCCCGCAGCGCAGGGCCAGCAGCTGGTGCTCACCCTGCAGATGTTCAGCAGCTGTGCGTGCAGCCCACAGCGCTGTGGGGGCTAGGGGACACGGCCCCCGCCGGTGTGAGGGCAAAGCAGCGCTCCCACCGCCCACACCCCCTCCCGACGCTGGCGTGCGGTGCCTGGCAGCCCCTCTCCTTCCACAAGGCGCGGCCTCAGAGAGCCCTGGCGCGTGATGGCACGTGACTTACCGGGGCAGCCGAGGGAAAGGGGCTGTAGACCCTGACCAAGCCCAGCCGGCTGAACTACACTGGCGGCCTCCTGGGCATCCCCGCAGATTGTCCACACAGCCTCCCAGACTTTGAAGAAGGCCGCTCATCCCTCCCAGAACGGGTCCCCAGAAACAGCCAGAGCAGCGGGTACCTGGGTCGCGGCAGCAAGAAAGGCCACTCTAGAGGTAGGCCTGAGCAAAGGGGCTACAGGTCCCATGAGTGCAGGACACCCGAGCAGGGACGGGTGGGAAGAGGCAGAGAGCGGCAGCAAAGATGGCCACGAGGAGAGGACGCCACAGCCGGGGAGGGCAAGGGAGGGAGGACAAGGCCGTCCAGCGTCAGCACCTGCTCCGCAGCAGGCTCTGCCGGGGGAGGGCATCACTCGTGCTACGCACGACAGCCCCGCTGCGCACAGACACGAAATAAACAGCATCGCTCAACGCGCAGGTGCCGGCCCGAGCACTCTGTCTGTGCCGTCTCCCACACACATGCGGCATTTGTGAGCCCCCAAACCCACACCCCCAGAATGACAGGCACAGGACCCTGAGTGCGGGCCTCTGCAGTGGCACCAGCACCAGACTGTGATGCCCTCTGGCCACCTCCCCGAGACCCACGCCAAGGGCTGCCTGTGCCCCTTGCCACCACCCCCCAAGGCCCCCAGGGCATGCCTCTCAGGAGCCCGATCCCTGCTGCGCAGCCAGGGAGCCCGCAACAGAGCCTGGCTCTCCCTGGGCCCACAGGTGCTGAGAACAGACGTGCCTGTTCAGGACAAACCGGCCGGCCACCCCCACCACCGACGCGGCACAGCCATCCCAGAACACAGGCCCTGGCTCAGCTTTGCTCCCAGCCTGGCCCCCTCAGGCTGCAGGCGGGCGCCCGGGCAGGAGGCGCTCAGTGCCAGCAGCCTGTGAGAGCCGAGGCCGAGAACAGCCCGGGCCGGCCAGCAGAGCAAAGGCCGGGCTCCAGCTCCCCCCCGGCATGGCTCTGCGCTCTCTGACCACACACCGAGCCCCTCCTCCACCCACACAAGGGCCCACGTGCCCCAGGGAAGAGACCAACTCACCCTCCAGAACCTGCTTTGCCACCCACACTTGACCCTCTGATCAAAACCAGGAACTAGTCCAAGGGGACCGTGGTCACGGCGCACTTCCTCGAGCCCAGAGCTGAGCGAGACCAGCTACGCAGCCTCCGAGCCAACAGCAGCCCGCCCACCGCCGGGCCATAAACTCAGGGCCTCAAACGCTCAGACACCGTGCACTGTGGGTACCCCATGGATACCGCCGTGCAGGGAAAGGGATACAGACCTCCCCCCAGTCAGCACACACGGTCTTGTGGGTCGTCCTGAAAAACACCCAATTGTTTCCAGCTTCTGGGTTTCAAACCCTGCCCACAAGGCCCCCTATGGCCGCTGCAGCAAGCCCGCGCGCCCCGTTCTCCCACAGCCAGGGCCCGGCAGACAGCAGCCGGGCCGCCCACACCCGTGGACCTCGTCACATACCTCCTGCCCCTGGCGCCACCCAGCACAGCAGCCAAATGGCCCAGAGAAGACCCCACCCCAGTACGGACAAGCTGCCGCTGCGTCTCTCCAAGAATCAGAGATGACTATGACCAACAGGGCAGAAGCGTTTCGACACCGTTTCAAAAAAATCTGCATTTTCATTTAGACTTGTCACTTCCCTTTACTTGGGAGAGGCCGCTCAGAAGTGTCCTGACCTCTGTGAACATGGAGCGCGGGGCCCACGCTCCCTTCTGACCCAACTGCAGTGCAGGTTCGGCCTCTCGCTCTGAAACACACACGGGTACCGCCGTCCTGACCCGAAAGGGATCCGGTTTGGAGAAACGAGGCTGGGAGACGCCTGGGGACAGGCCCGTTTATTCGCGGCACGGCAACGAAGACAAAGGGCAGAGATGAAGGAAAGCGCGACACGCAGGAGCCTGGTCCTCCGTCCTCGTCGATCAAAACTGCTCGGACAGCAGTGCGCACAGCCTCCGCGAGGCGGCCTCCTTACTCGTGCGCAGCGTCAGCCGGTACATCTGCAACGGGACCCGCAGCTCAGCGGCTGCTCGTGGGCTGCCTAAGCCCGCAGCCCACGGCCCCCGAGCCCCGCAGCTCAGCGCGCCCCAGCGGGCAGCCAGCGCTTCGCGGGGACGTAGCAAACACACTCTCACACAGCCAAGACGCGGGCAGTTTGACAGCAACTGACCGCAGCCAGCGTGCGGAGACGCTGGGAGCCCCGGGGTCCGCACTCCCATCCCAATCGCTTCCCAAGTGAAGGGAAGGCGGACGGCCGCACCACAGCTCCACTGCACATGGCCCCAGGCAGCTCCGTGGGGCTCGGCCAGCTAACGGGGCACACGAAGGGCCACCGGGGTGACGGCTGGAGCACGGGGTCATGGCAGTGGTCTCTACAGGAGGTTGAGACGGGTAGAGGGAGAGTGGACCCCGGGGAACTTTCTGGAGTGATGGAAATGTTCTCTGTACCAGCAGGATAACAGGGGGCCACCCAGGGGGACACATCGATCAGAAGTCGTCAGAGGACTCCGCTCGGGCCCCACAGCACAGCACAACCAGAACAAAGCTCAACAAGTCAGACCTGGGCTTGCAGATTCGGCTCCAAACGCAGAAGGCACCCGATCTGGGTGGTTCTGGTGTGTATGATGCCGGCCCCCACGAAATTCGCAGGATTGGGATCAACGTCTTCCAGAAGCGCAGAACCAAACCCGATGATCTGTGCCACAGAGAGACAGGAGCATAGGGCAGCGCAACCGCAGCCACAGAGGAACAGCAACACAACCGGCCGCCCTCCGGAACCCCGGCGAGCGTCCCGACCCTGGCAATGCCCATCAACAGGCCCTACCTTGGCTTTGGTGATTTCTGTGTCCATTGGATGCTTTGCTTTGAAAATGTTCTGCACCTCCTGTTGGGGACTGTGAGGTAAAATCAAGGGTCACCACGCCAAGCTGCATCAGCTCGGGAGGACCCGGGCCTGCCCCTCCCTGGTGCCCCTCGCTCACCTGCTCAGCTGCTTCCAGCGCTGGAAGAAATCTTGAGAAGCCATTTCTGTGGGCTGGAAAAATTTGTTGAGTGTGATAGGCAGCTTAACAGACACATTCTGAAAGGTTCCCCCATACCTACGAGCAACACAGAGACACAGTGAGCAGAGCGCGTGAGCCGCCGAACATTCTGAACCTCAACCACACACCCGAACTGGGCTGCAAATCAACGGGCACAGGAACACCTGCTGCTGCGGGTGCGGAACAGAGTGTTCTGGAAGGGTGGCGCGAAGCCACACAGAGGCCCAGTCCGTCTTCGTGTGACGGACGAGGACCGACGAACCGAGCACCGCACCTGCCTCTGTGTGCACGGACAGGGCTGCGCCTCCGACAGGCACCGCCAGGCCCTGGTCGGGGACGGCCCAACCTTGGGCTTCTACATCTCACTTTTCCCCACAGCCCATTTTCTACAACTCCAAGTTGGTTTAAATTGTATGGGATTTTTCTTTTTCCCATGAGAAGAGACGAAGAAAAGGATTTGCCTACAGAATAAAACAGAAATTTCCCTAAATTCTATACAGTACAGTCTTCAATTCTGTGTTTTTAATGTTTGAAGATGCGCTCTTCCAAAGCTTCAACCTCACAAACGCCCACAGCAGTCGGCTGTTCACACACACTCTCTCCCGCTCACTGGAAAGGATGGCCAGGAACCAAGGAGCAACAGAAAACATTTTAAAAAAACATAATCAAAACACAGGGCACCTGGTTGGCTCAGTGGGCTACATATCTGACTCTTGATTTCGCTCAGGTCGTGATCTCATGATCATGGGTCCCGGGATGGAGCCCCTGTGTGGGGTCTGCACTCAATGGGGAGTCTGCTTGAGAGTATCTCTCTCTCTGCTCCTCCCCCTGTTCTCCTCCTCTCTCTAGAATAAGTTAAGTCTTAAAAAAGATAATGGCCAAGCGGCACATATACCCGGGGGACACCAGGCAACAATGCACCCCCCAGATGGGGGGCCTGGGGTGCCATCCCCACAACAGACCCACAGAGCAATGACCACGCAGGGGCACACAGGACCCAGCTGGTCCCAGCCCCATAGCGCAGCACCCCCCCACCCCATTCCTTTCGCTCAGCTGGAGAGCATGGGACCTGAGCAACACAGCGCTGGCTCGCAGTGGCCTCCTGGGACCCTGCACGTACCGCCTCTCCCTCATTTCCCAGACACTGTGCACCTACCTAACACTGCAACGTGCACGGTGGGGGCTGCAACTCACTTAGGCCACCCCCTCAGCCCTCACAAAGGCCTCCAAAGGAAGGACGCAAGGGCTCAGCAAGGACAGAGGACTCCCAGGGACACAGCCGTGTGTAGGCACGACCCCAGAGCCCCAAGCTCCAGAGCAGAGCAGGCTGGCCACCCGGCCCACAGCCCCATGAGCTGCTCACCTGAACTGGATGTTGAGGACCGGGGCCTCCGTGAAGTCAGACACACACTCTATGTTCACGACCTGCTGCACCTGTGCGCCGCCATCCACAGTCGGGTCCACAGGCTTGGTCTGCAAGCTCAGATGTGTACGTGTCAAGGAGGCCGTGTCAACACCGGGGAACTGTGCCCAAGCTGAGCGAGCCCCAAAACATTCTAGAATGGGGTCTGTAAAAGAGCTCATGCTCCTGATCTTGGAAGAAACCTCTGGTACAGCTGATTCTACATACACGTTACTTCTAATGATCGATGAGAAACCCTTGCTTTAACAATCCGTGTTCAACCGTCCCCTTACAACAAAAGTGGGCCTGGCCTGCGGCAGGCAGGTTGCTGCCTCCCACACCTCCTTTAGGAGAGGCAACACCCGTGTCAGGCGCGCGCTGGGCGCTCCCAAGCCCCACTTGGCTTGCTCAGCCCGTCCCTGGGACAAAGAGATCTGGATAGCAGAGCCGGCATTGGCTGGCACGTTCCAACCACGTTCCCGGCACTTACTGGGGACAAGGCTCCAGTGTGGGCACATCGCGACACAAGACAAGCCGGAGACAAGCACCGCGCAGCCCGAGCGCGTGTGTTCTCAGCAGCTGCTCGCTCAGGGGGCTCCCAGGGGAGACTAGAGCTCAGAGGGGCTTGGACGTCACGTGACAGGAGGACAGAACAAGGAAAAACAAGTGACTCCAAGGAACCTGAGGGCTTGGCGTTGGAGACCTGCGTGCCCGTCCCCCCAAACTCCTCCAGCCCCCCAACCCCCTACCCCCCACCAGGAGCTCCCTCTAGAGGCCAGCCAGTGGCTCCAGGCCGCCATGGCAGCTGGGGCATCCAGCTCTTCTGATACAAACAAACAAAGTCCCCTGGGGCACCTGGGTGGCTCAGTCACGATCCCAGGCTCCTGGGACGGAGCCCCGCATCGGGCTCTCTGCTCCGCGGGGAGCCTGCTTCTCCCTCTCCCACGCCCCCTGCTTCCGTTCCTTCGCTCTCTCGCTGTCTCTGTCAGATAAATTAAAAAAAAACAAATTCCCTAAAACCCTCCTCTAAGCCCCAAGTGCCTGTCTGCTGGGGACACAGAAGACACGAGACCAAGGATATTCGTCTGAAGGTCGTCGGAACAGATCAGCGTTGGAGTGAAACTTAAGAACTGCGTGGAGGTCTTATTTCCGTAAAATATAAACATGCGGCCTAGAAGAGAAAACACCATGTGTCTCATACACACCCTGCACCTTAACAGTGAAAACCCAAGAGGCCCCACGTTCGGGCGGAGCTCCAGGGGAGGGTGGGAGGGGGGACTCGCGCGCAGGCAGACATGGGGTCACAGCGCCCCCTGCTGGGGGGCTCCAGCTGTCCGCCTGAGGAGCGGCCTTTCTGCCGACAACACCCTGCCTGAGACGGGGGACGCGGGACCCAGGCCCTGGCGGCCACCTCCCAGGAGGCCTGGCCAGACCGGCCTCCTCCACAGCGATGCCCCGGCCAGCACCACAGCGGCTCAGGAGCTGGACGCTGGAGGCAAGGACACCCTGATGTCATCACAAAATCTTTATCTTTCTGAACATTTTTATTCCCTCTGCTCGGAATGCAAAGTGCATTTCAAATCCTTTCATGAGGAAGAATGGCAGCACAGCCCGCCCACCCCGGAACGCAGGCGGCAGCCCCGGCCCTGAGGGGGTGCCTCACTGCCCTCTCTCAGTAGAGTCCCTGGGAGGAGGCTTCTGCTGACCCTCCAAGCATCCCTAATGCATCCCTGGAGGGCAGATGAGCTACTTCTCTCCTCTGTCCCCACGCGCACTTGTTCCTACACAGAAAACTCAGCCCTCAAACGGCTCAGAGGTGGCACCCAAGAGGGAGGCAGGCTATCGTCTGTCCACCAGTGCCCCCAGCAGCACCCCAACAGTGCGCTCCGGGGAGAGCCTCAAAAGCACTTTCTAGAAGTCATGCCAACACACACATAAAATGTATCATCTCCACCATCTCTAGGCTCACAGCCCAGGGCACTAAGTACATTCGTAATGTAGTGTAGCCGTCCTTACCAAGGGTCTCCAGAACTTTCCATCTACCTAAATGGAGACTCTGTCCCCATGAGACCCCGACCTCCGTATTTTCCCAGGCCTGGTGCCCACTGTCCACTCTCCGTCCCAGAGACACCAACCCCCATCCCTCCCCCAGCCCTAGCACCCACCGTCCACTCTCTGTCCCCCCGAGACACTGAGCCCGTCCCTCCCCTAGGACCAGTGCCCACCGTTTGCTCTCTCCCCCTAAGATTCTGACCCCCATTCCTCCCCTGGCGCCCACCGTCCACTCTCTGTCCCTGTGAATCTGGAGACTCTAGGGACCCCATCTGGGTGGGATCCTGCAGTATTTGTCCCTCTGTGTCATATTCACTCTGCATCACGTCCCCCAGGTCCATCAGCTGTGGCCGGTGTCAGCGTGTCCCTCCGTGGGACCGAGGGACAGGCTGGTGTGTGGACAGACCACGTGTATCCATCCACTCACCCGTCGATGGACGGGGGGGCTGCTCCCGTGTGTCAGCGGCTGTGAACACGGGTGTGCAGCGTCCACACACGTCCCTGCTTTCGATTCTCAGGGTACATAACTAGAAGAGGAATTGCCCGATCACACGGTCATTCCGTTCTCAATTTCTGGAGGAACCGCCACGCCGTTTCCCACAGCGGCTGCCCGGCTTCCATTCCCGCCGACCGTGCGGGATGCGGGGTCCACCCTGCACGTCCTCCCACACGCGGGGCTCCCACCCTCTGCGGACGGCAGCCGTCCTGACGGCGGGAACAGGGTCATCGCCGGAGCTCTGATGTGCGCGTCCCCGCTTGTCGGCAGGCTCTTCTCGGAGGGGTGTCGGCTCTAGTCCTCTGCTCATCTTTGAGTCGGGTTGTTTTTCTGTTGCTGTGTTTAGGACTTCTTTGTGTATTCTGGAAACTAAGCCCTTACCGGCTGCGTGACTTGTGAATATTTTCTGCCCACAGCTCCTAAGTGAAGGTTTTCGCTGAGTAATTAAAGCACATACCCAAATTCTGCCGGAACTCAGACTTCAGTCCGATCTGAAGCAGCTGGTTTTCAAACAGCACACCATTGTTTTTACAGACAAACCTAGGCGGAAGGGACAGAGTGTGAGTCCCTCAGAGCCACCCAATAGAAATATAAAGATCTGCTTTGAAAAAGAGTCTCACAAAAAGGCCAGAAAAACCTCTATGGGACTCAGAGTAGAGTTAAGGTAGGAAAGTATTACACAAACACCAGTAAAAGGTGCCCACTGGAGACCCGGGATGTGACCACACAGGACAGGACAGGGTGGGGCTCTGTCCTCCACAAACACGCCGACCCACGTTCCAACGCGCACACGGTGCAGCCTGCACGCGCTCTCGGGCCGGAGCTGACGTAGGGCGCTGGCCGCGGCTCTAGGGCTGACCACCGGCGTGGCCACAAGGCCCCAGCGGCCAGGATCTCCCACTGCAGATGCCACGCTGGGGAGTGGGCTAACCACCACCAGGCAGTACCACGCATCCCAGCCCCGACCCCTGTGAGGAGGCCTGTGGGCCGGGCACCATGTGCACCTGCACACAGAAGGGCCAAGAATGTCGGAGGACGCCCCTGCCCCAGACCACTGCCCAGAACAGGACGTCCAGTGTAGAGCCCGGCTCTGTCCCCAGGCCTTGCAGCGTGTGGTGTGCGGCGCATTTCAACCTCCCAGCTCTACACTTCCAGAAGCCACAGACGGTGATTCACACCCGTCTAAACCCGCCTCTCTTCCCCACCGTCAACAAGCGGCAAGAACTCATGCACAGCACAGACACCGCGAGCCAGGAAAACCACAAAACCACACAAATCCTGCTGCTGTCATCAGGACACCCAAGGACAGGGGCCGCTCAGTGAAGACACTCCATCCGGCCGGGCCACCCCACCCCCAGGCCAGGCCCTCCCACACCTCCTGGCCCACTGAAGACCGGCAGAGACACAAGGGACAGAGAGCAGACACCACAAAGGTACGGAACCATACAGCAAAGAAAGCAGGAAAGAAAACACGCTGGGAAGGGCACTGTGATGTCCATGTCCTGGAGACGGGGACAAAGCGCCACGTGGAGGGCTCACGGCAAGCAGGGCTCCGTGCACAGTGGGGCGGGATGACCTGACGAGGCAACACGGGGAGCAGGGAAGATGGGGCTGGCAGGGGAGGGCGGCGGCGCCACGGACACACGGGGAGAAAGCATGAGGGCGTGCTAACGAGTGTGTGTTAACACACGGGGCAGGCTGGGCACCCACCAGGCACGCACACCAATGGGGGGACGTCGGGGCTAGGAGAGGCACGGCCGGCGACAGGGTGCGGCTCTACCTGCTCCTCTTCTTGAGAAACTTAACCACCTTTCTCTAGTGAGAACTGACGCTCCATGAGTGTGGGGCCGGTTCCAGAGCAAACCCGCCAGCACGCTCTGGGCAGTGAGGACCGAGGCCTGCTGCCAGCAGCTCGTGTAGACTGTGGGCCCCGGGCAGGGGCCAGAGGCCGAGAGAGTCCCAGTCTTGAAGACACGAGAGACCAACTACCTGGCAAAGTTGTCTTCGGAGCCGGGAGCCAGTGGCGCAACTGCGGAGGGTGAATCTGAGAACACGTCCACGAGCAGCCCGCCGGAGGAGGGTGGGGGGCCTGCGGGGGCAGGGGGTGCGGCCCCCAGACCCAAGAGGTCTGCCGATGGAGAAGGTGTGGACTGGAAAACAGGGAAGGAGAGGGTCAGCGGGAAACCTTCAGGCATGCCAAGGCCAAGCAGGCACGAGACCTGCGCCCCCTGCCCACGGCTCCTGCCAGGCTGCACAGGGCCAGCGTGCAGCACGGGAGTGGGGACTGTACCCCAGGGTCAAGCCCGCAGCCCCAGCTGGAGGGTCAGTCACAATCTCACACAACCGGAAAAAGAGCAACCTTTTATCGTGAAGATTACCTGAACGGGAAAGGAAGTTCTGAAAACACTTTTGCCACAAAGGAGGCCAGAAAGAACTGAGGCCTCACACGCCAGGGTCCCCCTTCCAAAGGGGGAGTGAGCTGAGAGCCAGGTCCGCGAGCGGCCAGTGCACGCTCTCAGTCTACCCGTGTGTAAGTCCTACTGAGTCACAGAGGAAAAAGCAGATTAAAAAACCTACAGGACACACTTTGTTTTAACGGCTGCTTTTTGATCCTTAGCAGAAGACAAAGCACAAACCCACGGGGGACCGCTGCCCCACAGAGCACTCATCCAGCCGATGCAAACACCTGGCCCCGCACCCTGGGCGGCGAGCAGGCTCTCGTCACCCCCGGGGCGGACCGCTCGGCCTTGAGGACGCGTCTGGAATGACTTTTGAGTTCCCCACAGCACGTCCGTGAAGGCGCAAGTTGGTCTGGGATGCCCGGACTAGGTCCTGACGCCACCGTACACCGCCGCGCTCGCGTTTGCTGGGCGTTAGCACGCACCCACCCCTCCAGGAACACGACTACCCCGTGAGCCGAGGGAGGCCGAGAGCCTGCCCCAGCACGTGGCGCCCACCCGGGCACTGGCGGGTCGCACCGCGGGAGAGGCCTCTGATCACCGCCTGCTTCCGGCACAGCCCCCCAGGCCCGGGGACGCAAACGTCCGTTTCCGTTTCTGCAGATAACTGCCCCTTCCCTTCCATGCTAAGTGACAATGTCACACTGAACTTCTAAAGGATCTCGTGTCACTAGATGGTATCACGTAGCAATCCCATTCCAAGCTAAAGGAGGCATCCCAAAATGTGTGTTCTGCACAGAGGGTGCGGTCTGACGGGGCCGAGAAGCCTGCTCCGTGGGACGCCCCTCCTTCCTTGAGGCTGCGGCTGCTCCTGGCGCACCAGATGGGCTGGGCTCCTCAGGAAGGGGAAGGCCCAGGAGAGGAGCGGCATCAGTCACATGGGCCCGCAGAGAAGGGATGGGGACCACAGAGGAGCTGTCGCGAGAAGGAATACCAGAAACTTGTGCCCCATCAGAAAGGGTGTGGATGTGACCTCTCCAGGTGGCTCCTGGCCCGCCCTGCACCTGTCACAGTGCTCCTGGGAGCACAGCTCTTCACGGCACTGACCCTCCGAGGAGCGCCGAAGGGGACTACCACAGCCGACAGACCTACAGCCTAAATGGGGATTATTTCCCCCCACCACCTACTGCAAGATCTTTACCACTGGTTCCTGAGTAATGGTTCAAATGTTTGTTCGTTTTAAGATTTCTTTATTTATTTGAAAGAGAGAGAAGAACAGGGATAGAGAGTCCCAAGAAGACTCCATGACAAGGACAGAGCCCGACATGGAGCTCAATCCCAGGACCCTGAGATCATGACCCAAGCCAAAACCAAGAGTCAGACACTTAACCAACTGAACTCCCCAGATGCCCTGATTCAAATGTTTTTGTTTGATTTTTAAGAATTTTAAGATTTTTACTTATTTATTTGTGCAAGGTGGGTGGGACCACAAGGTGGGAGGGAGAGGGAGAAGCAGACTCCCTGCTGAGCAGAGAGCCCGACACAGGGCTCGATCCGAGGACCCCGATGTCATGATCTGAGCCGAAGTCAGACACTTAACCGACTGAGCCACCCGGGAGCCCCAAATGTTTCTTAAAGAAAATCTTTTGTCCGGGGGGCACCTGGGTGGCTCAGTCGGTTGTGTCTGACTCTTCATCTTGGCTCCGGGCTGTGAGACCAAGCCCCACGTCGGGCTCTGTGCTGAACAAGAAGCCTGACTTAGCCTCTCTCCCTCTGCCCCTCCCCAACCCCCACCAAGCCTGCGAAGGCACACTGTCTCTCAAAAAAATTTTTGAACATTTTGAAAAGAAAAAAGAAATATTTTGTCCAATTAAGTCAAATATGCCCCCAAAATGACAACAGACGAAAGCAAGGCTGTTCTGCTGGGAGGACCTCCCTGGACAACCACTCCTGCCCCAGATCCCTGGGGCAGGTCTGCTCAAAGGCCGGCATGCTGAGACCCACTGCCTCTCCGCGGCCACCTCCTCCTTCAGGACTCAGGGAGACGGTCCCCAGGGAGCCTGCCTGGCGCCCATCGGCACAAGCCACCTCTCCTCACCTTGAGGGCAGCAAGAGCAGAATCAGAACAGCAGGAGGAGCCCCGCACGCCTACAGACTGCATGTCAGCTCCAAGCTCTGCTGAGCCGGAAAGCCCCGGGAACACCAGGCAGTCTCCAAACATCCACCAGTGATGGTCCTGGTGCCACCAAGAGACGCTCGCCACGTGTGCGCACCCGTGCACAGACGAGCAACTGGGAGACCCCGGGGCCGAGGTCCCAGGCCCACAGACGGTGGATGCACGGAGAGCAGCCTGTGGCAAAGACAACATGCTTCCAGCCTTGTCTGTGGCCCCGAGTTAGTCAGTCTGACCAGCACCACACCACAGGGAAGTACACCGTTCTCCAAGTAAAATCCAGACATCTCAACGCCGTTCTGAGGCAGGGCCTCCCCTCCGAGGTGGGAAGGAAGACTAGAGGAGACTTTCGGCCCAGAGGGACCTTTCTCCCTTTTCTGTCCTGCTTCTCCTGTCCCCTTTGGAGGGGTCTCTAACCAGATCCCCAGCTGCCTGAGCACTGAGAACAGACCACCGCTCCTGTGATCGAGACGCCATCCACAACACTGCCAGTTCTCAGCTCACAACCACAAACATCTACTCACTAAGCACTTGCTGGGCACCACTCACAGTCAAGCAGAAAGCTCACAGCCGGAATGTAAAACGCTTGCCGAGCGAACCTGGAAGAGAGGCTACCGCTCCCCATCCCTGAGAACATACCGTAACAACAACCTGTTAAATCTTATCCCACCTGCCTTCTCAAAGTGGGACTCACCGCTCACATCCAGAGTCAGAAAGGGAGCCAACAGATTCCCAAGTGCCCCAGCCTGGACACAGCGGGGCAAACCAGGTGTGGCCCACAACCTGGTACAGACACGCCCTTCCAGAAAAGTCAAGAACCAAATAAGGAGACACCACTGACAACTGTGAGAATAGACATTAAAGCCCACCTCCTGCGCTCACGTCTACGCGATCGGCTGGCGCTGGGGCTGCTGGAGAAGAGGATGCGGGCTGCTCCCCGAGGCACAGAGGCCAGCCCTGCTGCTCCTGGGAGACGGCCCACGCCGCATCATGTGTGTCCGGCTCTAGATGACGCCGCTGGCAGGGGGCCCCCACCCAGCACCGTGGGAAGACTCCATCTGGGGGGGCACGAACACCGTCCACGCACGAGCCGCAGGCCCACGGCCTCCAGAGTCAGGCCGCTCCCCAACGCCAGCGACCGCCATCACCCTGGCACTATGGTGACCGTCGGGACCTCCTCACAAACAAGCATCTGCGTACTTGGGTAGGGGGAGCCAGTCAAGGCCTTCAAGACTCGGGTCCACTCTGTGCCCAGGGGACAGGCGCAGAGGCAAAGAGCTTGGAAAAGCCACCCTGTTGAATTCCTCAGGGACAAAGGGATGACGACCACCTGGAGAAAGAGCGTGGATCTAACATTCCCTGAGAAACCTGTACGAGACATTCAGCTGCCAGAAACCACAGGGGTCACAAGCAAACACGCCAGCAAGTTCAGACTAAAGAAGGCACCTCCCAAGAGCGCGTCAGGGCTCAGGGGACCCCGTTGCAGCAGGGACCTCAAGTCTGGGGGAAGGAGGACTGAATACAGAGCTCATGGCAGGCTGGGCAGTCTCGGCTCGAGGCCGGACACGCGGTCGACAGGGCCACACAAGCAGACCCCACCGAGCAGAACCAGGGCTCAGACATAAGCGCGCTCCTGACAAGCAAAGGCCCTGGTCTGTCTACACGGGGGCACACATTCTCTCTGACACTCCTCCTCACAAAAGCCACCTGATACCGCTAGCAGTATCACTCACGTCATGGGACCAAGATCCCAGACAGGAAACAAAGCTCTCCAGGATCCCCTCTGTAATGGCCGAGCAGAGAGCCCCCAGCCCTGGGGAGCCAGTCCCAGCACCCAGGTGGCAGCTGCGTGGCAGGGCTGGTGTGCACGCTCTCACGGAAACTCCTACTCCGGTCAGGAAAGGACAAGAAACAGATACAACTCTCGGAACTACGTCTCCCGCCTGACAAACACCAAGAAATGTGTTTTCATTCACACGTGAATATTCTCACCATGTCACACAGAAAAAAGAAATTGATTCTAACCCAAGCCACTGCTGAAAACCCCTACGAACAGCATGAGGGGTTCGGTCTGCTCTAAACCAACAAGAAAAGGCTGAACAGGCCTCCTACACAGGGCAGTCCCCTAACAGTAAGTGACCGTGTCGTCTGAGCCAAAGACAGGACTGAGAGGAACTGGGAGTGGACTCTGGAGCGAAGACAGCGATCTAAAAGATGCTCTAGGGGCGCCTGGCTGGCTCAGTGGTTAAAGCCTCTGCCTTCGGCTCAGGTCATGATCCCAGGGTCCTGGGATCGAGTCCCGCATCGGGCTCTCTGCTCAGCAGGGAGCCTGCTTCCTCCTCTCTCTCTCTCTGCCTGCCTCTCTGCCTGCTTGTGATCTCTGTCTGTCAAATAAATAAATAAAATCTTTAAGAAAATAAAATAAAATAAAATAAAAAAATAAAAGATGCTCTAGAAGACGGGGCACAGTGTCTGAGTGAAAAGAGCTTCTGGAGGTCACGAGCGAAAGAGAGGTGAAGACCTAAGCTTGGTCGCACTGCCTCATTCTCGGCACACGCTGTAACACTCAACACAGAATTCTCGAGCAGGCCAGCGCTCTGCCGGCCCCGACTCTCAGGGACCAGGCCGCCCAGCAGGAGGGCACCCACCACGGCACTGGCTGGGGCAGGCTCAGGGGCCCCGTTGACATCCGTGCTCCTCTCCCGCTTGGCCTCCTCCAGGTCCGTCACTGTGTTCGGGCCCTTCTTCTTCTTGAGCTTGGCCAGGATGGAAGACTCGCGCTCAGGAAACGGCGGCATCTCCTCCAGGACGGTGGCCTGGAGAAAGAAGCCCCGGTCGCCATGGCTCCGAGCCCCGTGGCTTCCAAGCCCGAGACCCGTGACAGCGTAGCAGGGGCACAGGGCAGCCAGGGCCTACCAGGATGTCAGTGCTGGCGACCGTGCTGAGCCTCAGGTACTCCACAGCCCGCTGCTGCAGCTCCACGTCTGCGTTCCTCAGCTGGCTGTCCCCGCGCAGCACGTCCTGAATGGTGGCCTTCACCTCCGGGAAGAGGTTCACGAACTTGATGTAGGTGGACAAGAGCAGCGCCCTGGTGGGGACGCTGCACAGGTGGAACTTGGAGTGAAGCAGGTTGAACTGGATCAAGGGGCTGTGGGGGCACACAGGGCACTGGGTCAGGGGGCTGCAGGGGGCAGACAGGGCACTGGGCCAGGGGCTGTGGGGGGCAGACGGGGGGCACACAGGGGGCACACAGGGCACTGGGTCAGGGGCTGCGGGGGGCTGACAGGGCACTGAGTCAAGGGGCTGTGGGGGGCAGACAGGGCACTGGGTCAAGGGGCTGCGGGGGGCTGAGAGGGCACTGGGTCAGGGAGCAGACAGGGGGCACACAGGGCACTGGGTCAGGGGACAGATGGGGGACGCACTGGGTCATGGGGCACACAGGGGGCACACAGGGCACTGGGTCAGGGGCTGCGGGGGGCAGACAGGGCACTGGGTCAGGAGGCAGACGGGGGGCACACAGGGCACTGGGTCAGGGGGCAGACGGGGGGCACACAGGGCACTGGGTCAGGGGCTATGGGGGGCAGACAGGGGACACACAGAGCACTGGGTCAGGGGGCAGACGGGGGACACACAGGGCACTGGGTCAGGGGGCAGACGGGGGACACACAGGGCACTGGGTCAGGGGGCACACAGGGCACTGGGTCAGGGGAGCGGGGGGCAGACGGGGCACAGGCGGAGTGGGGGCGCGCCACCCCTCGTCTCCTACACCTCATACGCACCCCAGCACCCATGCCTCTCACCCTCATGGTGGGCGTGGAGCAGCTCTGGGAAAAGAACCCACACTAAGCCAGAACTACCCCAGTAACCGGAAGAGTGTGCGGTCAGGCCAGCACCTCCAGCTCCAGACTAAGCGCAAACCTCCCCTCCGGTCAACTAGAAACCCCGTCGGTATAGCCTGAGAGAAGACGGAACAGTCGCCCACAGCGGAAGTGCTCCGGCTCTGGCTATGCCAACAAGCAGGGGGGACCCTCGCCAGCCTTCACTCCGCGGAGGCCCAGGGCCAACGCCACAACACGGTACCCACCCGACTCCCCAGGGCTCCCTCACCTGGATCTTGGGTCGCCGGCTATCAAGTTTCCGAACTCCCCCAGGATGTAGCCCCCCACTTTGACCAGGTTCTCATGGCACGCCGGGGCCTGAAGAGCCTGTAAGACAGGGAGCCCAAGGAGCCCAACGCACAGGCGGCCCCCGCCCGCCCAGGTCCACGAGTGGGGACACATCTGCCAGCAGGGCAGCGGTAGTGATGGTGACACACCCAAACAAGACTTTGTTTGGTCACTTTGCCTATGTAGGTGCAAGCTCCCGGCAGAGCTTCCAGGAGACCTTCCTGGCTTTCAAAACCACCCTTCCTTCCCTTCCCGTTTCTGCAGCCATGTCCTCAGCAGGGGAGTCCCCGAGGCAGTGACATGGCCCGTCCAGCCCTGGAATGGGGCCTGTGCTCCACTTGGGCCCCGGTCGGGGTCAGGGGAAGCAGGTGCACACCCCCATCCTCCTTGGGGCCCACGCCCCTCATCAACGGAGCCCAAGAACCACACCACGGAGGCCCGTCCACACCAGAGACGAGCTCCAGCAAAGGAGGCGTCCACAGCACGAGCTGGAACCTCCAGAACAGCCAGCAAGAGACACATGGCACCCTGCGACGCCCCCCGGAACCCCACGCTTTACCCAGAGAAAGGCAGGTGGGCCATACCTCAAACACCGTCTTGGCGGCATAGCCCTGCACATCGTCCCGGTTGATGACAATCTGGATGACGCGGTACCACACCTCCTCGCTCACGTAGTCACCAGCAATCCGGATCAGGTTCAGGATGGTGTCCACGTACCACGTGTAGTCCACGGCATACTTCTCCGCCAAGATGGCCACCTTCAGCACCTGCAGGGGGTGGCTGCTCAGGGTAGGTGCTCTGGGCCTCCCGGCGTGCTGCCCGATGTCAACTCCAGGGCTTCGGAAGGGCCCACGCACGTGCCAAAGCTCGGCTGTGCAAGAAGCTTCCACCCAGCTCTCAGGCGAGCCCAGAAGGTTAAGATTGGTGGCTTAACTGGGGAAAGCCAGACCACCCTCCAGGAACAGACTCGGAAGGTCTAGGAGGCTCATGGCTAGTTTCCTAGTCCAGAAGGATCTAGGAAAGCACAACAGGGTCGGGTCACAGCTGCAGGAGGGCACAGCAAGCCGTGCCCTGCACTGCCATCCGGTTGCAGCCCAGGCAACCCTGGCGTGGGGCCTCCTCCCAGCAGCCCCATCCTCGGAGCGCCAGGGCCCGCTGGGTCTCCTCCTGTTCTAGCCAGCCTTTCCCAACACTCTCCACTCTACTCTTCGTAGGAGGCCGCACCCACTCGTTCACCCCCATGCGTTCCAGAGGGTTCTATGGACCCCACGCACTGCCCCGGGGCAACAGCACTGAGCTGCCCAAAAGCAGACCTCACCCCCTCCCCCAGTCACCTTCTTGGGGCGCCGAGCTCCCCTGAACGGCACCAGCCACTCTTCAAGCAGCTACCTGTCCTCGCAGCCACCCACCAACTCCGCCAGCCTCCTGACTGCATTCCAGAGCCCCTGCCGGAGCCCGGACCCCCAGCCATGTGCTCTGCCCACCCTCCGGCACCCCCTTCGGCTCTCCACAGTGATCCCTGCACATTGCTCCAAAATTCACTGTGTCACTGCCTTGGCTTCAAAACCTTCGAACCCAGAGCTTGCCCCTGAAGCTGAGCACTCAGGGCCTCCCCCACCATCTCGACACAGGCCAGCATCTTCGCTGCCCCTGCCACCTATGCTGTGCACCCTGTGACAGTTCCTCCCAAGCCGCCCCGTCCCCCCCCAGGGTCCCGAGCCCTGCCTCCACCAGTCCTCAGCCACACTACAAGCAGGCCCATGGTCCTGCCTAGGACCTGTCATCCCTATGCACACAAAGGCCCCCTGTGAGCACGGCAGCCGGCACACCCAGGTGTGGAAGCCCAGCAGCCAGCGCGACCCCAGGGCACACCCGCAGACACGCCTAGCTGTGCAGGCGCAGGGACCGAGCACTGACCTGCAAACTGCGAAGGTCGGTCTTACACCTCGTTCGACTAAAGCGGACTGAGGAACGTCACTTGTCATTTGAAAGGGAGTAAGAGCCAACACGGCGCTGGCTAACATTCAAGACCTTAAAAACTGGAAGAACACGCCCCTTCTGTCTCTGCTCAGAACACACCCGGCACCGAGGAGAGCCATATCCCCTTGACTACGGTCCCCAGAGCGAGCCAGTGCCACCTGCACAGGCGTCCAGTCTCAGCCCTGCTGCCTGACTGCCCTCCAGACCTGACCCCACCCACCCCACACTCCCCTGCATGTCTGTTCTTGGATCTTCCTCCCCATCCCTCCTGGCTCCCCTGCAGTGCCCAAGCCCTCTTTCCTGGATGGGCATCCGTTCAGCGCCAGGAGCCTTCCTTGACCTTCTTCTCCAGGGCAGCCCTGCTCCTCACCAAAGCACGTCACTCAGCACTGAAGAGCCAGCACCTGCCCCGGCCTGGCCCCAGGGGCCACAGCCATTCCCTAAGTGATGGGCTGGAAGCCTGAGTGTCCGACTGCACGCAGGGACACTCGTACCCAGAAGCGTGGCCGCCGACCTCTCCACACATACTCTGCTGAGCCCTCTGAATCAGAACACACACTCGGGCCCCCCGTATGCTGGCCATGGGCCACCTGGTACCCGGCGCACCCCAATTCTGCATCGCCGTCAGCGTCTCCCCAGGCTGGCATGTGCAGGACCCTGACAAGGTGTTCGGCGTGTGCGGCCACTTCGCCAACAGCCGCTGCCAGCAGCGAAGGCCGCCAGGCGGGAACAGGCGGCTGTGCTCAACGGAGCAGAGAGCAGGTACCCCGCGCGTAAGCGGGAGCTCCACGGCTCAGACCTGCAGACCTTGGCCCACAGGAATCTGAACTCATGCTCACCTGAGTCGCAAAAGTATCTCACTGTGAGGGTCCCTGTTTGCACAGGTTGTTTAAAGTCCCTCCTGAAAAACTGAAAGGCTCCGCTGAGGATGCGGACGGGAAACTACGGTGAAGGCGTCTCTCCCCAGAACCGGGGAAATTTCAGGACAGCGTCAGAACAGAGCCGCGCACGCTAGGGAGAGGCAGACCAGGCTGGAGGCACAGTGGCCGTCGGACTCACAATCTCTTCTCGGATGGAGTAGTCGGCCGTCTCCAGGTAGCTCAGCATCTCAGCCACGATCTGCTGGGCGCTGCTGCGGTCACACATGGCGTAGAGGAGGTCCACGGCCCGCTGTCGCACACTCACATCCCGCTCCGTCTGGGGGTGTGAAGCACAGCGTGAAAGACCATTCAAGCAGACGGTGGGCGGGTGGCCAGGCCCCTGCGGCTCAGCCCCTACTCCGTCCCAGCGCTCACTGCCAGCTCTCCCTGCAGCGCATCCAGACCCAGGGACCCCCACACGCTGCGCTCACGCAGAGCTCCTCACTCGCACACGTGGGCCCAGCAGCCCTGGACTGGCTGGAGTCAAGGCACATCCCTGGGGCAGGCGAGAGGCCCCTCTACTGCACGGACACCGACCGGCTCCACCTGGGAGCTCATCACAGTGCTGCTCTCGGGCCCCTCCCGAGACCTGCTCCGCCAGCCCCCCCAGTGCAGTGAGACCCCAGCTGCTCCTCGGCACAGGACAGGCTGGGAAACACGGCTGAACCACCAAGCAACAGGCAAAGGCGAGGGCAGGTCTTTCTGACTCCTGGCAGTGAAACCAGGGCCAGGAGCACCCAGAACCGAAGAGCTCAGTTGCCCGCGTCTGTGTGGCCTCTTGCTCGAAACACAGCCCAAACACGCAAAAACACAAAGGGACAGAGTCAGACAGCTCTTAACCATGAGTCTAGGCAGAACCCGGGGCTCTGCAGCGGTCCCCCTGCTTTTCACTCTCTGGCGCACCTCAGCCAGCACCAGTAACGCTGGGGGCGTCGTGCTGTCCCCCCGAGGGCAGCCGGCCCGCAGAGTCACGGCGGATAATGGGAGCAGGCAGCCTCAACTTGGCTTTTCCAACTCTGGAACTTAAATTCCTTAAGAAAGGTGAATTTTCTTTTGCAAAGGGTGAGTCTTCTCAGAGACAAGGACAGAATGTTTTCTCTTTCTACCAAAAAGAAGAGTCTGCATCGATTCAAACATCTACCGTGACTCAGCTCTGTGCGGAACAGGACGCGCCGTACCGCGTGCTCCAGCTGACCCCACCAGAAGGGAGAGAACAAGGCCCGGGACGCTGGCCCCGGAGGACAGGGCACTTGCCTTCAGAGCGTTGATGACGGTCTCGATGTGCGTCTTGACCGCCTCGTGGGAGAACTCGGAGCTGGCCAGCGTGCACATGCTCTCCAGCGCCAGGTAGCGCAGGTTGGTCTCACGGTGCTGCAGGAACTGGCCCAGCTGATTACAGGCGCGGACGAGCAGGTTCGGCTCACTGCACGGACAGCAGAAGCGGGCGGGTAGGGCTCCTCAGCGCGCGCCCCACAGACAGGGCCGCCCACAGGTCAGCGCGGCCGGTGGCGCTCACAGTCAGCACACTGCTGAAGGGAAACCTCAGGGCCCCCCACAACAAAAGCTTTGAATTTCCAATGCTGAGGCCGGTTTTGCATCTGCTCTGCTCGCTGCCACCTCATATGCAGAATTCCACCAACTCCTAAGAGCTGGTGACAGAAGTGGCACCATCCCGAGCCAAGCGTCCCCTACAAGCCTCGGTGCCCCGCTTGCAGAGGGAATGCTCAGGCTCTCGCCAAGGGGCCAGAAAGCTCATCTCAGCCAGAGGCAGCAAGCCCTGGCCAAAGGCTGAACAGAGGCCTTGCCCACAAGCATACTCCCGAGAGCCGCGCACACAGACACAGAGGTGTGCAGTCGACAAGGCCCCAGTACCGCTTCCCAAGGAGTCTAGCTGCGTGGCTACTTAGTCTCGACTTCGCCCTCGTGATACTGTTGCTCGCTAAGTATCTGCAATAACTGAGACCAAAGGGCTTCCTCTAAAATCAAAGCTTCTGTTTTCAACAGTTCCCAACTCTGCTGATGTAGGATTCTCAGTAGGACTTTCTGTCCCTAGAAACACAACTGTCTAGAAATGCTGAGTAGAAGATGCCTGGGAAAGGCTACGCCACGCCTCCTGAGCCCCCACCTGGCGGGGTGCGGCACTCTGCAGCTGTGGGGACCCAGGTGGCATCTCGCACAGCCTGCCCAGCAGCCGCACCATCACGCTACTGCGAACTCTAAAACAAGACACCATTCACAAGGCCACAGTCAGACCACAGGACTCCAGGAGCTGAGGAGACAAGGCAAGGAAGCAAACCACAGTGCGGCCACCATCTCCCTGCGCTGCACTGGCGCACACAGCTGTCCCACCACTCCCCAGAAAGGCCTCAGACCAACACTGAGTGTGGCTTTGTGTCACAGGAAAGCTACCAGCCACCCAGCCTTGCCTTTCCTGTAAGGTCATGGGAGAAGCTGGGCAGGACCAGAGTGCCAGGAGGAACAGGAGAGGCCCTCAGGGACAGGCAGGGCCATGGCAAACAGGGCGCAAGCTCGGAGGCCAGAGAGAGCACGAGGTGCTGGAGGGGAGCAAAGAAAGGGCCACACAGGGAGCCCACACCCGTCTGAGGAGGGCAGAGGTGACGTGTCCACATGGGCAAAAGAGGTAAGCACTCAGTGACACCCAGCAGGCCTGGCATCAATGAGAAAGAACACCTCCATGTGCTCAAGAGGGGTGCATCCTCCCCACGGGGCAAGGCCAGGGGAAGCAGAGCACAGTGACCCTGACCCACCTATCGTGGTGAATGATCAGGCTGATCGCCTCGAAGAGCACGGCGTTCTTGGCGTTGGAATGCTGCACTTTTTTCGACTTTGGAGGTTCCTGAGCTTTGTTCAGAACGGTCTCCAGGCACTCGGTCAGGCGACCTCGCACTGCAGGGTCTTCTGGGCGAGACAGAGCACCGTCAGGCCGGGCCCCCACCCACCCTCCCTCCCAGCCATGCTGCCTCACAGCAAGGGGGAGATGGCTGGCAGGAGTTCCTGGTCCAACTGTGGAGCTACTTAAAATGAGAGGGTTTAGCAGCTTGGTAACTCCCCATGTGTTTTTGTGGGTTTTTTTTAATATTGTATTTATTTATTTGACAGAGAGCGAGATATCACATGGAGGCAGAGAGACAGGCAGAAAGAGAGAGAGGGAAGCAGGCTCCCCGCTGAGCAGGGAGCCTGACACGGGACTCGATCCCAGGACCCTGAGATCATGACCTGAGCCGAAGGCAGAGGCCCAACCCACTGAACTGCCCAGGCGCCCCTCCCCATGTGTTTTAAAGCAAATAAGATGTCCGACATTTTCGCTGCATTACAGAGCACACAAATCGAGAGAAAATAAAATCTCAGTCACACAGACAAAACACCTAATATAAAAGTTTGAAAGACGGAGCAAAAGATCTTTTTCTCTACCTTCATTCCCAAAAGATACAGAGAAAATGTTACCAAAACCAATTAAAAAAGAGAAGGAAACTTTTAAAGTTCTGATCGAACCATAAAAAAGAAATAGAAGACAAAAAAGGAATAAGAAAGCAGTAAAAATATCAGAATATCATAAATGACCTATCCCCCAAAACATCCAGCACCTCTGGGGCGTCACAAGCCCAGCCGCTGGAGAGCAGAGCAGAAGTGCGGGCAAGCGCGGCGGGCGGCGCCAGCGGGAACCCCGAGGAGCAGCCACCCCGGGCTGGGCACAGAGGCCAGGAAACTGCAGCCGCACCCACAGACAGTGTCAGAGTGAGGACGCAGTACGGCCGCCAGCAGCAGGGGTGAGGCAGCAAGGAGCGGGGTCCACAGGGAGGCCAGGCCGCCCCAGCTCAAGGGACGCCTCTGCCGCAGGTGTGCAGCTCATACTTTGGTATGAAAGACATTTAGTTTAGAGGGCGCCTGGGTGGCTCAGTTGGTTGGACGACTGCCTTCGGCTCAGGTCATGATCCTGGAGTCCCGGGATCGAGTCCCATATCGGGCCCCCGGCTCCACGGGGAGTCTGCTTCTCCCTCTGACCTTCTCCTCGCTCATGCTCTCTCTCACTGTCTCTCTCTCTCTCAAATAAATAAATAAAATATTTAAAAAAAAAAGATATTTAGTTTAGAGAAAATCACTTAAAACTAACAAAATAATATCTTGTACAGAAACCAATTAGATTAAAATGTAAAGGCTACAACAACGAGCAATTTTTGTACAGGGCAATTTAGAAGTTAACACTAAAAATGTTCATCTACAGGGTGCCTGGGGCGTTCCATCACTTAAGCCTCTGCCTTTGGCTCAGGTCATGATCTCTGCGTCCTGGGATCGAGTCCCTCATCGGACTCTCTGCTCCGCGGGGAGCCTGCTTCTCCCTCTGCCTGACGCTCATGATCTATCTCTCACTGTCTCTAATAAATAAACAAAATCTTTAAAAAAATTTCATGTACATTCTTCAACCAAGAAGTTCTATTCCGAGACATTTACCATACCAGTCGCATGTAACATTTTGCAGTAAAACAAGATCACAAGAATATCCTCACTGTGTACATTGAGGTTATACAGATCATTAACAACTTAAGATAACAAAGTGTGTAAGTGTTTCAAGCTTCAAATTTTACTGAAAAACACTGTTTCAAAAACCTACACAGGTCTGATACTATGTAAAAAGCAGAAATAATCCCACTTTGTAACAAAATCGGGAGTTCTGCACCAGCTGCTCCGGGGAGGCCAAGGCGTGCAGCCGCATCACAGAGGGGCCAAAGAACAAGGGCCAGCGCCAAGGAAGGCCTCACAAAGGCCGCAGACAGAAGCCACGGAGCCCGGCCCGAAGCAGCCGCCCCGAAGCAGCGGCCCCGACAGGCCGCGGCCGCGCCGGTTACCTGGGGGTGGGTAGCACTGCAGCAGCCGCAGGAGCTTCACGGACAGCCAGGGCGCCGGGACAAAGTAGTACGTATAATCCTGCAGGTCTGTGGATGCGGACGTCACAATCTGGAAGACACCCCAGGGGCGGGCAGGTGTCACCAAGAGAGCCCTCCGTGGGGTCCCCGGATCACACCCTGCCTGAGAAATGGCTCTGTTCGATGAGTGGAGGGTATTTAACACAGTGCTCTCTGTCCTCGAGGTCAGGGGGCGTGGCGACACTGCGCTCACAGGGCAAGCAGCCGGCCACCATCGTCATCCGGGGCAGCCCCACACGCTCCTGCTCTGCGATGGCCGCCCCACCCCGCGCGCACAAGCTGGCCCGCACCACTGACCTGCAACTGCTCCAGAACCCAACCGCACCTGCACTGGGAACCCAAACTCTCCTTCGTGGACCAGGACGCAGATGAGACACAAGAGGGAGGACTCTGGTCCTCTCAGGGCGGAGCTGGTGTCCTGAACCCAGCCCATCCCCCCCCACCCCCAATACAGCCCTCCAGCGCCAGCCCTGCCGAGAGCTCACCGAGGCCAGAGAGCAAGCTTCCTCCACTCGCGGCTCCATCTCCCTGGCCGTCAGAGTCCTTGGCCGGGCAGACCCTCCCTCCTCCTCCTGCATACCCAACTGCCCCAAGGACAGTTCGTTTCCACTGACACACGTTCCTCACCCCCTGAGTCAGGGAGGTCAGAGGAGCACCACCCTGCCAAGCTCCCAGCTGTGACACTTGAGGTCATATGTAATAAGCATGTTCGGGAAGGTCTCGCCATGACCCCGCCATCAGCTGCAAGGCTGCAGCACAGACCCAGGACGTGGCCTGGGAAGGAAGGTGAGCTCCACGCTGGGGAGGGCACGGACAGGGCTAGGGTTACGGTTAGGGTTTTAGAGCCTACGGGCACACAGAGCAGGAAGCCAGGGCGTACTCTGCTCCACGGGACATAAGGAGCCAGAGCAGGCCGCTGCCTGCCGCTGAAGCCATGCTCAGAAGCGTCCGACTTAGAGACGCACACATGTGAGCCAGATACAAGAATAAAAGCAATGAAGAATTCACCCCAAAAATGTACAAAGGAACTAGCAAACTAGCCTAAGAAAGTAAAGGAAGTAAAACAAGGGTAGCAACAGGAAGCCGCCAGGGAGAAAAACAGCAGAGAGAGCCACCAAGTCAGAAGGCGTCACGCTGGACAGGCTCACCAGGTAAGTGAAAAGGCAAACGCCCCACAGCGAGACCGAGCAGGGGCGGCAGCACGGCCCGCCGCCGCGCCCCACACGCACGGACACTGACCGCCGCACACTGATCATCCAGACAAACCGGCAAACGTCCGAAATCAACTTAGCCGAAACTGATGAAAGGACAGAAAGCATAAAAGCCCGCACCTTATTAAATAAGTTGAATCCAAAATAAGAAACTGTTCCACGAAGAAACCCTACCTTCAAATGGCTTCACCAGTTAATTCATGATAAAAGTGTTAGCCAAGAAACAGAAAGAAATTTCCTTCCTGTGACAAAGCGAGCCAACGGCAACAAAATCAGCCAACACAACTCGTCACGGCGAGACACTCGGAGACGCCCCTCCGAGATGAGGAAGAAAATCCTCTCTCATGGTCCACACTGCAGGGAGGCCGTGGCAGCCAGAAAGCAGGAAGCGCAGATGAACACCGGCGGGAAGAAAACCCATTGTCCACAGACCGGATGGGAGTACAAAGAAGATCTAACACAACCTACAAATAAATTACGAAGATCAGTAAGTGAGGGGGCCCCTGGGGGGCTCCGTCAGTGAAGCACCTGCCTTCAGATCAGGTCATGATCCTGGGGTCCAGGGATCGAGTCTCTCATGGGGCTCCCTGCTCAGCAGGAACTTGCTTCTCCCTCTCCCTGCTGCTCCCCCTGCTGTGTGTGCTCTCTCTGACAAATAAATAAAATCTTTAAAGAAATAAGTAAGATCAGTGAGTTTGAAAGAATTGCCAACTCCAAGATCAATGTACAAGAATCACCTGCACAAACCAACACACAGTGGTCACAGAACACATTTAAGACATCACTCGTGCGCCTGTGCGTCTCAGTGGGTTAAGTATCTGACTTCAGTTCGGGTCCTGATCTTGGGGTCCTGGAATCGAGCCCCATGTCAGGCTCCCTGCTCAGTGGGGAGCCTACTTTCTCCATCTCTCTCTAACCCCTCCCCCCACTCATACTTGCTTGCTCTCTCTCAAATAAATAAAATCTTTTTTTTTTTAAAGATTTTACGTATTTATTTGACAGAGATCACAAGTAGGCAGAGAGGCAGGCAAAGGGAGAGGGGGAAGCAGGCTCCCCGCTGAGCAGGGAGCCCGATGCGGGGCTCGATCCCAGGACCCTGAGATCATGACCTGAGCCAAAGGCAGAGGCTTAACCCACTGAGCCACCCAGGCTCCCCAAATAAATAAAATCTTATTAAAAAAATCATTAGGAATAGCATTTTTAAAATAAACTGTATAGGGGCACCTGGGTGGCTCCATCATTAAGCGTCTGCCTTTGGCTCAGGTCACATCCCGGGGTCCTGGGACCAAGCCCTGCATCGGGCTCCCTGCTCAGCGGGGAGCCTGCTTCTGCCTCTCCCTCTGCCACTGCTTGTGCCCTCTCACTGCGTCTCTGCCAATAAATAAAATCCTAAAAAAAAAAAAAGAGCAGCTAAGCTGCTCTGCCTGGAGGATAATGACGAAAACGCAGACCTACACAACAAGGAGACGCCGCCTCACCCACGGACGGCCGACGCGCGCAAGGCCGAGATACAGAGCGGCAGGAAGGGCACACTGCGGGCAGGGAGGCCAGTCGGTACAGCTGCTCTACACTGTCCCCTCGACGTGAAGCACGGCCGCCCCATGACCCAGCGACGCCACCTCCAGGGACCTGTCTCGCAGCCGTACGCACAAAAGAGCCAAGACTCAGCCAAGCTGATCACAGCGGGCCGCTCCCCGTCGCCTCAGGGTGAGACAAGGCGACCGGTCGGTCGGCTGTGCGATACTCGTGTAAACGCTCCATGGCATCGCCACGAAGGGACGGCACGCAGCACAAGCCCGCCGACCCCCTGGTGCTGAGCTCTACGAGTCACACACAAAGAACACGGGCTGCTGCAGAGTCCCTGTGCACAACTCAGGACACCGTCCGAGCCAGACGTCCGAGTGAAGGACACGTGCTCAGGCAGCAAAGGAAAGTGAAGAGGGAGGCCGCCCGAACGAGGACAGGGCTCCCTGCGGTGGGGGGCGCCGCCGGCACCCCCACTCCCCACCCAGCACAGGGGCTGAGCGGCACTCGGACGACACAACTGTGTGCTGCGCCGGTCACTCCGGGCACTTTCCCATAGGGACAGAACGTTTCTCAAGTGGCAAAAAGGTGGAAAGAAAACCCAACAAATTCCAAACCAAGACAAGTTCTCACCCTGGATTTAAAAACTGAGTCCAGTATCTTCCGTTCGAAACAGCAAGCTAACAATATTAATTAATTGAAAAACTCAGACGAACACGCATCCTGAGACCCGCTCCCCATCAACAGACTTACCCTGCTTAATCTGGAGACAGCCAGGGAGACAGACGTCTTGAACTCCTCAGGGTTCTTCTGCGCCAAGGTGGTGATGAGGCTGGTGGCGGCGGTCACCACACCCTGAAGCAAACACACAAGTGCGCACTGTGACCACAGCCGACGTGCCTGCGGCTGGCTTCCAACAGCAAACTCATTTTCCGGGTAAAACTTGAAACCGAGAGCATCAACCCAGAGCCCCTGGGCCAGATTCAAAACTGCTCCGACTGGCCCATCGTGTCTGAGACAGCACACATCTGTCATGTTCCTTCTGGAGCTTCTCTCCGAGAACCTGGGCATCCAGCAAGGCCGGCAGCCCAGCTCCCTGCCTCAGAGGAGGCCTGCGGAGCGCCGCACCAGCCAGCCGAGTCTCTACCTGCCCTGCCGCCCTCTTCTGGGTCTGGGGTCAGCGGCACTCACTGCTGCCCCTCGCTCACGTCACTCCGCATAGGGGCACCTGGCTGGCTCGGCCAGGAGAGCATGCAACTCTTGATCTCAGAGTGTGAGTTTGCACCCCATGCTGGGTACAGACGCTACTTAAAAATAAAATCTTTAAAAGAAAAAAAAAAAAAAAGATTCCGTATGGACCAGGAAGGGAGACATTACCCTAGGACTCACTTGGATCTTTACAACCCAGAAGTGTGACCATGGAAAACAGCAGCTGGGAGCACCTATCTCTGCCTTCTTGAACAGATCCACCCCACTGCTCCCTGCGGCAGCCCAGGCCCGGTGAGGCCCCTTCCCTGTAGAGCGCCCCCCATGCGGCACCCGGCCTCCATGCACAGGGAAGCCCAGGCAGCACGAGGACACCTGCTCTTGTCCCAGGACAACAAGAAGTCACTCCCACCAATTCCTGTGTCTTGAAGGAAGACACTGCTTAAGTTAAGAAGTTCTCTCATAAATACAAAATAGACAAAACAAAGGAATGCAGGGGCGCCTGGGTGGCTCAGTGGGTTAAGCCTCTGCCTCTGCTCAGGTCATGATCTCAGGATCCTGGGATCAAGTCCCGTATCGGGCTCCCTGCTCAGCGGGGAGCCTGCTTCCCCCCTCCTCTGCCTGCCTCTCTGCCCACTAGTGATCTCTGTCTGTCAAATAAATAATGTCTCCAAAAAGAAAAAAGGAATGCAATGAAAATGCAAATAAAGCTCAAGAAAGCACTGGCCACTGTGGTCCCCCTGGCCCTCCTCCACCAGGCTCCTCAGCGGGTGGGAGAAGGCCAGCAGCTTCTGCAGCTGCAAAGGCGCAATGGGAGGGAGCCCCTGGCCACAGCTGAGCGCTCCTTCAGCTTTCTAAGGACAACCTGAAAGCAGCATTAAAGACGCAGAGAGAACCGGCCTTGATGTCCGCGTCCCAGCAAGCAACAACCAACTGGTCCCCTCGCAGGAGAGCTCTAACAAACTCGGGATTCTTAAACGCGCAGTCCCACCGGGCAGAGTCATGCCGCACAGCTCCTAAGCATCTGCGGCTCCGCCTGGCCCACCAGGGGGACAGAACAAGCCTCCGTATTCTGATAAGAGTCAGCTGGGACTTGCTGGCTCGAGCTCAGCTTCTCCCATCCTCTGCTGTCGCTGGAGTCTTCGTGGGAAGGGCAGTGTGAGAAGACCAGGGGGAGCCCAAATGGCCCCCAGTGCTGCCCTTCTGGCCACAACTCACTGCCTGCCCCACAGACCCCCGGGCTCCTGCTCTGCTCTCAGAACACAGGGCACACAGAGGCCTGCTTCCCTCTGGCGGCACGGCCAGCTGACACTCCTGAGCCGGAGACAAAGCAAGCCAAATCTCGGGCCATCTTTAGTGACAAAACCAAGAGGTATAGGACAGAGAAGCCACAACCACATAAAGGACAGCCACCAAGAGAACAGAGAACATGGGACGAGAAGAGAGATGAAAAAAGACAGGGTGATGGGCTGGGCCTTCCTGTGGGCCAGCGGGCCAGCGGGCCAGCGCCTCTTCCCTCTCCTCTCCGAGCTGGGCCCTGGCGGCCCACAGCAAGCTTGTGCCAGGCGGTGCGGCCGGTGAGACCCGGTCATGCACGTCCAACTATGCAAGCGAACCACACAGCTGGGGCGACCGAATCGTGAGTGTCAGAGGAGAGGCCCTTCTCGGCCACTGCTCTGAGCAGCCCCTGTCGGCCGTGAGGCGCAGGCCCCCTAAGCTGCCCCAGCTCTGAGCCTTCTGCACCTCCTGGCCCAAGTCCAGATCTGCAGGAAGCCACTGCAGCCCTCTGGGCCCCCATTCCCACAGGCACGAAGCTGGAGAACTCCCCCCGCCTCCCAGGGCTGCCCGGTGGGTGATTTGTGGCCTCGAGCCTCACAGCCTCCTGCACAGCTTCAAGATTCCACTGGTGGACTCAGAACCTGAACGGACTGAGAGGGACCCACGTGACCCGGCATGCACTCCCAACACCGCCTCCCAGGTGCGTCCCCCTCACCCTACAACATGGCTGTGCCGACCGGCCTCCGTGCTGAGGAAGGGTTGCCCCGCTTGGATACGAACATCCCAGGATGCGTGGGCCATGACAACGTGGGAACAGCCCACAGGGCTGCCACCCCACAGCAAGTGTCCCAACACAGCCACGAGCTCTCTCCTCTGACTCTGCATGCCATGACCGTTTATTTTTAGTTCATTGTTTTTTTGGAGAGGGAGAAGGAATGAGGGGCAGAGGGAGAGAGAGAATCTCCAGCAGGCCCCACTGAGCACGGAGCCCGCTGCAAGGCTTGACTCCATAACTCTGGGATCACGACCTGAGCCGAAATCAAGAGCTGGACACTCAACTGGCTGAAAGCACCCTATTTTTAATTTAATTTTTAAGGTAGAGTCCTCCTGAGAAATAATACAGAAACCAGCTAACATACTCACACCGATCGACTCAAGAAAAATCTGTGTTGAGTTTCAATTCTCCCATTTACACAACAGAATTCATGCAACGCAAAGCCACCGTGCCCAATGTCTGCTCCTACTTGACTCCGTGTGCTGATGTCACGTCCCCGTGTGCCCCTTCGGGCGTGGATAGCACCCATGACCCATGTCTAACCACTATCACCAAGTCGCCCTGCACTTCCCTGTCACTCCCTACGACACAGGGAGGACACACAGGCCTGGCCTGTGCAGTGGCCATGCCGGAGCAGAGGTCAGGTCACAGGTCACCCTCCTCAAAACCCCAGGGAGAGAAGCACACGCTTGCAGTGCCCTCGCCAGACAGGGCATTTCCAGAAGACACTGGTCTCTGTCTTGCTCACCTGCACAGCCGCAGCACGTAGGAGGCCCTTTCAATGACGCGCTCTGCAGTGAGCCAGAGGCCGCATCTGCGTTATCCCGTCACCGGGAAGGGGGGAGCTCCTCCCCAAGCCACAGAGACCCCCAAGTGCTCACACACTCAGTGGGATGAGCTGTGGAAGTCTCCCCCCAGCATCATGAGCAGCCACACGGAGCTGCTTTCACAATGCGATCCCAGAAATGGTTCCTCAGCGGGGCACGGGGGGACACGAGTCCAAAGGCATTTACCAAATGCTGGTCGTTGAGAAGGTGCACCACTCGGGACGTCCAGTCTCCCACGGGGACGAGATCAGGAGACGTTCGGTACAGGCGCAGCAAGCACAGGGCGGCGCTCTGCTTCACACCGTCCATGGCGTCTCTGAAAGACAGACACCAGCGCCACTCGGGAGACAGCCGGCACCCCACGCGGCCCCAGCCAGCCGAGCGCGGCCCCAAGCCCCCCAGAGAAGAGCCCAGAGGAACCGGGGACCAGGAGGCTCCACCCTCTCCATGTGCTCCAGTCTGCGCCCCCTCCTGCGAGAGGTCTTGGTGTGGCCCAGGCCCGGACGGCGACAGACGGCTGTCTGCTCCGAAGACTTGCCTCGGACCCCACCACGACCCTCAGCAGAGCCCTGCCGGGAAGCTCTCTTCTCCAGAAATGTCCGTTCTGGTATTTTTCCCAACTGCCGCACAGGACCTTGGCTGTGCAAGACGGAGCAGACTCAGATTCAACTAATGTTCCCCTTTATCTGGGTTCCAGAGAACTTTTGCGTACAATTCACTTAATAACACACAGTCGAGACAGACAGTGTCGGAGCAGCGACCACCACAGAGCCCCGGCGGTTAAGTGCGGCTGACCAGGAGAAGGAGGGCTCCTGCGCCGCGGCAGCCAGCGTCCCGGGCGCGCCGATAACACCAAGAAGCCAGGTCAGAAGGGCGCACACCCCAGGAAAGGGGCGCTTGGAGGGTTTCCTGTTCAGGTGTCCATGTTCGCTGAGGGCACACGCTGTTCCCAGTGCCCGCTTATCCCTCCTGCCTGCCACGCCCAGCCGAACTCCGTGAGCCACCAGGAAGCCGCAGGCCCGCCGAGGAGAATCTGCGCCGGCGGCGGGAAAGGGAACAAGTCGGCGTTCTCAGAGCCCCGGGCAAAGCAGCGGAGACGCTCCCACACGCAGGGAAGAGAAGGGTCTGGGGTCAGCCTTACCATCCGCCTCCATGGTTGCTTTCTCATTCCTAAATGAGTCCAAGCCAAGGTGAGAATCCCCAAGCCGCTCCCCATTCTACTCCAAAGAGAAATCACCCCAGTCAAATGCTCCGTCAGATACTAAAAGCCCCGGGAGCAACAGGTCCGTGCCCCTCTCTCTGGCCCCACGCCGTCCTCACAAGCAGCCGCAGGGCAGCACGCCCCGCAGGCCTCGAGGCCCAACTGCACCGGCTTCTAGCCAGCGTGCTTCTGCGCTCAGGACCACCCCCACCCCCCACGCCGCCGCTCCTGCACCGCTCCGAGGCCTGCACGGGAAGAACCTTCAGGGAGAGGAAAGTCCAACATCCAGTGACCCTGGGGAGCCCAGGCAGAGCGCTGCCTGCTTCGTTTCAGGTCTGTCTCGGACCCAGGGCCCAGGACCCGAGTGCCGGCTGAGCCCTACTACCCCATCCCCAACGTGCCAGTTCTGACACAGTGACTTGACTCTGTGACCTGGACTCTGACAGACACTTTAGTGGGGCATGGCCCCACCTGGGCCCCCAGGCCTCACAACTTGTAGACACAACTCAGCTGTCCCCTTGCAGTGGCCTCTCCTCTCGCCCATCCGCTTTTGCTCGTCCAGGCTGGGCCGCGCTGCACACCCTCTGCGTCCTTTTAATCTGCAAATGTGGTCCATCCTTTATTTCAGGAGAAGGTTCTTGAATTACCACCGGAATACTTGCCAGAGATGACCTGTTCTACACCTCATTCATCCAAGAGGTATTTACCAAGCCTGTACCATATACTAGACACGGTTCAAAATGCTGGAAATAAATCAGCAGCCATGGTGGACAAAACCCTTAGGCCACAGCGAGCTTTTCTTCTGAGGGCGGAGGCAGGCAGTACACAGACGTGTTCGCTGGCATGCGCCAGGCACAAGGAAGGGCCTAGGCAGCAGCTGGAGGGAGCAAAGAGGGTGAGGGAAGGCCTTGCCAGATCCAGACCAGCCCTAACGGAGGAGGAAGAGAAACCATCAGGCCCTGAGCCCACACCGACCCCAGCCATCTTCCAGACGGACCCAAAGCCTCTTCCGTCCCGGTGACTTTGCTCTCGGGGTGCCCGCCGTGCCCTGCAGCCCCCATCAGCAGACGTGGAATGGCATCACCTCGGCCCCCCACCTGGTTCCTCAGCTCTGCAGCCCCTTCCAGTGCACGACCTGACACTGGCGCGCCGTCTGTGAGCCGTCCCCATTCACAGTCTTCTAGGGCCTTGCGTCCAGCCTAGCCTGTCTGCCTCTGGCACACGCCTCACACGCCCCTACATGGCCTGTAAGGCCACAGCCCTTCTGTTGCTCATCTAGGCCAGGGCTCACCCCCGAGGCACCGCCGACACTTGAGGCATCCCCAGCAGTGCGGGATGCGCACCAGCACCCCCGGAACCCACGCCCACAGCACACTGGCCGTAGTCTGCTCACTGCTGGTCGCTCCAGAGGAGCTGTTCCCCCAAGTCCTAATGAACTGCCCGGGACTGGGGCCCTTGTGGAGCCACACGTGTCACCAGGGTGTGGCCCAACTCAGCCAGCCGAGTCCTGGGACACCAAGCAGGGCCCCGCCTCCACCGCACCCCATGGCACCGGACAGCCCAGCCCAGTGTCAAAGTCCTCCAGAACTGCCTGCTCAGCCCCGTGTGGCCTCTCCCCAAACTCAAGGGGGTGGAGGATTCTCAGGATTCGGGCACTTGATCTCTTCCTTGGTAACGCTCCTGAGAAAGAGCAAGGGGCCCTGTGCCACACCATGGGGCGACTGCGTCCCTCCTTCCGCGGCCCTTCCTGGTCAGCTGTGGTCGGCAGGCTCTTCTTCCACGTACTTTACAACCACCGTGCTACCGGAGGGGCAAGGGTATGAGTGGACGTCCCCAAGCACCTAGATACACCGGTCTCCCACACCTAAAACAGGCAGATCGACTCCTTTGATAAACTCTTTATGTCATTACATATTCGACTGACTTCGCACAAGAGACGTACCCAGCTACGAGGATTTTCGGAATCTCCCCAGCAAAGGCCTCGGCCATCTCGCGGCTGCCCACGTTGGCAATGCAGTGCAGGGCCAGGCCCATGAAGGTGGGGTTCCGACTGGCCAGGTCGTTCTTGATGGCGTTGTTGATGAGCCGGATCAGCTCGCTGTTGGAGTTCACCAGCACAGAGATGAAGAGGTAGCCCTGGGTTCCAGAGAGACAGGAGGACAAAAGCTCGTGACCACTGAAGCCAACACGGGACAGCAACGCGCACACGTCCAGCCTTCGGGAAGCCTCCTGAAGCCTCGGGTCTGCCCGTGTCCTGCACAAGGAGTCAGGCCACTCTGATGAAAACAGCAGTTCCGGGAAAGAAGCAGTGTCTGCTTCCAGCTCTGCCGTGAGACAACCCTGCAGGACACACCTAGGAGGCATGCAGCCAGATGCCCCCCTGGTCCCCACCCCCGCCACCCGTCCCACTCACCTAGCCATGGTGCCTTGTGCGAGCAAGCCGGACCACTGCTACCTGAACGGGGGGCCTGACCAGAAGGCCCTACGGGAGGGCAGGGCTCCAGGACCCGCTGATTGCTTTCGCCTCTTCCCATCGGCCTCTCGCCCTCAGCTTCCACTCACTACTGACCAGACTCCAGCCCCGTGTCATCCCTCATCTACACCCTTCCCAGGCAGGGGGGCACAGTGGCCTTCCTGAGACTCATCTGATGCCTGACCACGCAGGTGAACTCCTGAGCAGCTTCCTGCTGGTCTTGGGAGAAAGGCCCTACCCACACACCCACGTCCTCTCTTCCATTCTAGCCACTGCCGCCCCACATTCGCTGAACGTGCCCCTGGCCGGGTGCTACCTGCTCTGTCTGCCCCCATCCCCCAGTTAGTTCCTCCTCCTCCTGGGCCCGCGCAGGATGCCCTCCCCAGGGGATCTTCCCTACTCGCCCACCCCCTTTGCTGGGTCCCAGAGAGCCTCCTTCCCTGGGCACCGGCCACAGCTGTTAATTCTCTATCTGTGGGCTGGATGACACCATCTCCTCACTAGGACAGAGAAGGGCCCACATCTGCTTCTGGTCCCCACATCCCCAGGGGCCTCCCAGCGCACTGCATGGTCCATGGAAGACACCCAAATTCTTACTGGGTAAATACCAATATTTACAAAATTCCTGGGGGACCTAGCTTTTTGTCTGTTCTTTGGGGTGTTTTCCTTGCCGTAAGTTAAATTTTTAGACAGAGAAAACTGTTATTTTGCAACATGACAGAAAACATAAAAGTATCATTATCCCAAGAGGCTACAGACCTTAAGTTACAAAGTCTGAGACCGCTTCAGGCGCCCAGGTACCAGCACCATCTAGGAAGCCTCCAGAAGCTGGGAGCAAGGCAAAGTCGCACCCATTTACAGCTCCAGCTCTGAACCCATGCGACTGTGGTGTCCTTGTCAGAAACAGAAAGTTGTGCAAGAGGCACCAGGAGACGGGGTCTGGGCCAGTGCACTAGCCCGGCACTGTGGGGAAGGAAACAGGCCCAAGACACCCATCACATCCAACCCGGACTTCGTGCAGCACCGGCAGACCCGCAGCGAATTCCCAGACTGCAGGGAGGTTGTAAAGAAAGAGCAAGAAAAGGGGCGCCTGCGGGGCTCAGTCAGTTAAGCTTCTGCCATCGGCTCGGGTCATGATCCCAGGGTCCTGGGACTGAGCCCTGTGATCAGGCTCCCTGCTCCGTGGAGAGCCTGCTTCTCCCTCTCCCACTCTGCCTCTCTCTGTGTCAAATAAACAAATAAAATCTCAAAAAGAAAAAAAAAAGGAAGAGGGGCACCTGGGTGGCTCAGTGGGTTGAGCCTCTGCCTTCGGCTCAGGTCATGATCTCAGGGTCTTGGAATCAAGCCCCGCATCGGGCTCCCTGCTCAGCGGGGAGCAGCGGGGAGCCTGCCTCTCCACCTGCTTGTGATCTCTGTCTGTCAAATGAGTAAGTAAAATCTTTAAAAAGAAAGAAAGAAAAGAAGGAAGGAAGGGAAGAAAAAAAGGAAAGAACAAGAAAACAAATGGCCACCTTGGGGCGCCTGGGTGGCTCAGCTGGTTAAGCCTCTGCCTTCAGCTCAGGTCAGGATCCCAGGGTCCTGGGATCGAGTCCCGCATTTGGCTCTCTGCTCAGCGGGGAGCCTGCTTCCCCCTCTGCCTGCCTCTCCCCCGCTCGTGTTCTCCCTCTCTCTGGCAAGTAAGTAAATAAAATATTTCAAAAAAAAAAAAAAGAAAGAAGAAATGACCACCTCATCAGAAGAGTGTCACACGGGGAAAGAGCCCCTTCCATCGGCCTCCTGGAGGGAGGCCCTGGAGCCACCTCACCAGTCTTCGCTGCCGGCCCCGCCCCAGCCCTGGGCCCCTTCAGCGACACTCACGATCTGCTTCTCCGTGTATCTGTTGGAGCTCAGCAGGTTCACGGCCTCCATGTGCCCAAAGTCAATGTCATGGCCCAGCAGAAAGATGAAGAGCAACTTGCAGACGTATTTTTTTTTACTATAGCCGTCAAGAGCCTTGTCACCTAGGGAACAGGTGGGGAGGGCGGGGACAGCAGGGAAGTCATCAGCAAGAGCCAGACAGCAGAGAGCGCGGGGGCCTGCCCCAGAGAGGCAGGCGCCCGCCAGACACACGGCACAGTGCTGAGTGCAAGTGATGTTTCTAGACCGGACGGTGCGCGTCAGAACCCAAAGGTTTGGCTCCACTTTAAAAACAGAAGCTGGAATCTCTGGCAGCAAGAGTTCTGCCCTCCCAAGACAGCCCGGGGCACACCGGGCCCCGGGGGGCCTCCCTCCGGCCTAACAGAGCCCCAACTTATACGTAAAAGTCAGTCTTTCAAATAACTTTATTAACATAGGCAGATAAGCAGTGCTCTAGATGATCCCCCTTTCACTTCAGTTTTAGGACAAATCGCCCACCCACGGAAATCACACAAGAAGAGCGGGGCGGGGAGGGGCGCCTGCATGGCTTAGTCCCTTGAGCGTCTGACTATTGGTTTTGGCTCAGATCGTGATCTCAGGGGACGTGATCTCAGGGTCAGGGGACCGAGCCCCATGCCAGGCTCTGCACTCAGTCTGTCCCTTTCCCTCTGCCCTCTGCCCCACCCCCCAATGCCCATGCTCGCTCTTTCTCTCTAAAATAAGTAAAATCTTAAAAAGAAAAAAAAGACCAGAAGGGCCCATGTCTTCACCCTAACCACAGCATGACTGAACTCCGCACTAGAGACTGTGACAAGGTTCCGGACACATCACCGGCAGAAATGACCACCCTGCACCATTCTGAGTATCACAAGTTCCAACCTCGCCTGACAAAGCGTCCAATATTCCTTTGGAGTCAACCGTTAACAGCAGAAGCAACAACCAGAAAGATCGGTCCTCTTACTGAGCTGAGTCTTCCGGTGACACGGGTGCCACAGTGTGAAGGACCCGTGAGGGACACGCGGAACGAACAGGACCTGGGGGAAACGGCAAGGTAAGGACAGCAGTGGTCATCACTGGCGAGGGGTCGGGAGACTTGGGCTCCCTGAATGAGCAATGGCTGAGCCCAAAGGTGGTCCGGGGCCAAGGACCCTCCCCCCGGACTTCCTTAGGACGACAGTTCAACGTCAGCCAGCCGGCTGGTCACCCGCCTTGAGAAGTTCCGAGAAACCCTCCGTCCTTTCCAACAAACTGACATGTAATTTAATGACCAAACAATAAGAAAGGAGGCCAGGCCTGGTTCCCGCCCCACCTCACCCCCCACTCACTCCTCTGCTCCGTGTACCTGGGAACCCCAGCTCTGCCGCCTCCTGGCTGGAACGCACGCCACCTGCTGTGGGAGTGTCTGCGGGCAAATGGCCACGATCTCCCATCTCCTCCCCACCCAGCAGGCCTTCGAGAACCAGCCTGGATTCCATCTATTCTGGAAGCCTCCTTTGACAAGCCAGTCTTAAGTCCCACCCTACCTCCTCTCGCCTCCCGGAAGACGGTCCCTGTTACTCAGAGCATATCTTAAAGGAAACAGCAGCGCCGGAAAAGGGAGCACCCACGGCTCCATCAGACCAAGTTCTGCGAGGACAGCCATGGGAGCACTGGGGGGCCCCTTCCCTGCAGCACCCTGGTTTCTGCTCCTGCAGGACCTAGGACACTGGGCCCCTCCTCCAGCCCTCCCTGATGCTGGGGGACTTCCGGCAGGCACACTTTTCAAGGCTAAGCCCATAGGAGAGGAAGGCCCATCATTAAGGCAAAATCAGGCCTCTCTCAGCTGCAGCGCCTGTGACAGATGGTGACTGCCGATACCCAGAACACAGCCTGGGGGCCTCACAAGGTAACCTTGGTCCCAGCCCAGAGGGGAGTAACAGGCCACCCTGCCTGAAGCCAGAGCACCCGAAGGGGCTACCTCTCCAGTCAGAGGGTGGCAGAGGGAACCTCCAGCCCCGAAGGGCTCCAGCACGGAGACCTGCCTATCTGTGCCACAACTCATCACGATCGGGAAGGGAACGACAGCCTTGAGAATACGGGGCCCGCCCTCTGCCTACGCGCCTCCCCCAGGCGCCGGCCCCGTGCGGGCCCACCTGCTCTTCGGGGCTCCTCACTGCTCACGAGTGACCGTGGGGAAGGTTTCCCATGGGTCACCCCACCCCCGGGGCCTGCCATGGGGAGCCCGTGCAGTGGCCACCGTGGGAAGCAATGTCCCTTCCGAGACGCATGCCGGAATCAGGCTCCACACAGTCTGGGGTTCACGGTGCCTCCAGGGCTTCCTCTGCTCTGGCTCGTTTCAAACCACCACCTTCGGACTACAGCGCCCCGGCCTCGGGTGTCCCGGCCAAGAAGGGGGAAACCAGGTGCTCCCCGCGTCGGAACCTGCACCGCGGCCTCAGGGAGAGGCGAAAACAGAAGGCTCTGCTTGTCCCACAGCCCAGGCACTCGCTGCTGTCCACACAGTCGCCTGCTCCGGCGTTTACGCGGCCGCCTCACGAGGCGGACCCAGGCACAGAGCGGGCCAGAAACCCCGTGTGTGTGCGCGGAGCCTCGCGTCTTGACGGCCCTCCACGGGGCCCTGCTGCGCCTGACTCTTCATTCCTCCGGAGACCGAGCCGGTGTCCTAAGCGCAGAACTCGCCGGCGGGACGCGCGTCCTCACGCCGCCAGGCAGCTCCAACGGCACGTCCGCGAACGGCCGCGGCGGAGCCGCCCTGCGGACCTCTCGGCCACGGCTGTCTCGGCGGAAAGCCTCCGAGGCGCACGGCCGCCCGAGGCGCCTCCCACAGTCTGCGGTGAGAAGAGGAGGAGCTCCGAGGCCCCACCGTGCCCATAATGCGCACCCAGCCCCTCGGTGCGACCCCAGTGCCCGCGCCGGCCTCCGGATTCCCTGTGCAGCCCCAGGCCACTCGGCTGCCTGAGGACAGTGTCCCCCTCCGCGCTCGCGACAGCCTGGGCCCCGGCCGGGCCAAACCAGCTACCTTCTCTGCTCTCCAGGGAGTGACCTACCCCCTTGCTCCAAGGAGGGGGCCTCCAACTCTGTCCCCCTGGGGACTCTCCTGCAGCCCAAGGGGCCACACTACCTCCTGAGTCACCCTGAGGAGGGCTCAGGAGCTCCCCACAGTGACCGTCCCTCTAACCCACTGTGGTTCCACTCTCCTGACCAGACCGGACTGAGAGGGGCCTCAAAATGTTGGTTTTCGCACGGGCTGGAATTGTGTCTCTATTCCGGCACTTTCTGACTGCGAAATCGCGCCTCTCCTGCCGGAAAGGGCGTGGCCCGTGTCCCTCCACCGCCGCCAAGATCAGAAGAGAGACACGGCGGGAACGCAGGCCACGCACCGCGCCGCGTCCTGACAGAGGCTCAGGGTGCAGTCCGCGCCCCTGGGGCCCCCCAGCTTCTCTACCGGCCCCTCCCCAGGGGCCAACAGGAGCTGAAGCAGGACCGCGGAGCCGGGGCTGCGCGTGTCAGACACAAAGCGAGAGCCCAGCAGTGGCTCATGAGGTCACGTATCACCGGCTCTTCAGACACGTGCCGACTCCAGGTCGGGAACTGCGCAAAGAGCTCCACGTCACAGCCACCAAAGCCTGAGGCAGGACACAAGACCGGAGAGTCGAGTCGGTCACTGCCGCATCCAGGTGCGCGGACAAACAGGCTCCTTCTCCGGGGCTGGCGCTGGAGGGAAGGACAGGCGGGCGCCCCTGCGAGTCGCCTGCCCTGTGGGTCAGAGCCACGTCGGCCTGGGGACCCACACACTGCTGCTCCCCGGCACCTGCCCCCGCCACACCGCAGCACCGATGAGCCCGGACATACGCGCTCAGTCACTCCTGCTTCTCGAGGCGCGTCCTGTCTCACCAGCGGTGAGAGTTAAAATTCGTCCAAGATAAGGAATCTTGAGGGCCCCGGAGATCCAGGCAGCTCGGCGTCGGCCTTCCTCACGACCCCAGCAGACCTCAGGCGGACGTTGTCAGCTGTGCCTCAGGGACAGGCCCTTGGTGCCAGCCAGAGACGCGGCCCGGGACGCGCGGGCTTCCCGACGCTCAGCCGCTGCGGGGGTCGCGCGCGCAGTCGCATCAAGGAGGGAGAGGGCGCCTCGCCCACCGTGGGGTCTGCGCACGGCCGCGCGGGTCAGAGCCCCTCGCGCAGAAAGACGCTCTCGCCTGACGAGTAGGATGCCGGCGAGCGCCGGACCCGCCGCAGACACGGGCTCCTGTCTCAGGGGCAGAGCGGCCGAGTCCCGGGAACCAGACCTTCCCCATGGATTTTGAGCTCTGAGCCTTCTCCGCCGCTCCTCACAGAGGCTGGTGCTCAGCGAGTGTTTTCTTTCGCTCAAAGAGGTACGAAGACGCCGCCACGGCTGGACACGAACTTCCTCACTTCTGCGCCCTGAGGACGCGCTGCCCGCGCCCGCGCCCGCGCCCGCCGCCCCGCGCGCCGGCTCAGGAACTCGCGCCAGGAAGCCACCCTCCCCCCCAGGTCCCCGCAGACCCGCGGCCTTGCTGTGCTCGCCGCCGCTCCCTGCTCAGCGGCAGAAGGAGACACAAAGTAAAAGCACGGGAAGGCGCCACCACGCACGCGGCGCGGCAACGAACCCTCGCAAGGCGCACCACCCCAGGCGCGGCCGGAATGCGGGGCACGCGGCGCGGCGGGCAGGAGCACGACACACGCAGCCGCTCCCCAAAGCGGCGCGGCGGCTTCCCGCGGGCGGAGGCCCACAGCCCGCCCCCCCAGTGCCGGCGCCGTGCGCGCCCGGGCAGGGCTCGCCGCCGCGCCGCCCCCGCCGGCGGGCACCCCGGGCGCCGCGCCAGCCGCACGCAAGCCCAGGGCCGGTGGGGAGCGGCCCGGCCGCACGCGCACAGACAGCGCGAGCGCCCCCTGGCGGCACCGCGCTCAGGTGAACACCGCGGCCCTCAGAGACCTTCGCGGTTCTTTTCGCAGGACCTTTCCGGAAACGGCAACGCGGGCACCGACTGAGGCAGGCGGCTGGGAGGCACGGACGCAAGCGAACACTCGCCGGCTGGAAACCATCTGTCCGCTCGCGCCGGCGGCGGCAGGGACACGCGTA